CGGAGAGAGACGCCGTCCGCGTCCTGGTGTCGCAGGGGATGAGCGCAGGAGGGGCGCAGAAGCTGCTGGAGGATGAGAAACTTGCCATCGAAGAGTGCATGAAGGGAGCGGAGAGCGTCGTTGAGCCTCCCGACCTCTCCAGTGCCGGGAAAGGAAGCGAAGCGGGCGTACTGCAGAGGAGCGCGTCGGCAGAAGGTGCAGAGGAGGAGGCGCAACCTGCAGAAGAGGAGACTCCCGAGAAGGAGCACGAGGCAGACCTGCCTCCCCGGCAGAGTCTGGACGTGGAGGCTCCTGCGAGGATGAGCATCGATGAGAGCAGCACGGCAGGAAGCGCGATAACCAACACTCCCTCAGCGGCATCGCAGGGAGGAGAGAGAGTCGACGGTGAGAAGGCCGGGCAGAGTAGCAGCGTGTGGTCTCGCCTGAAGGCTGCGCGCACTATGCTCAAGACCGGAACGCCGTCGAAGGGGGAAGAGGCAGCGGCACACGCTGCCGGGTCCTTCTCGGACAAGGCGGGAGAGCACAAGGGGGCACAGGGGGAGAAGGGAAAGGCGTGGCGGTCGAGCGGGATATCCGCTATGTCAGGTACGACATCGTGCTGAAGTGGTGATAACGGCAGGAAGGGGAGAGCGCGGGGGAGGGAGGGAGGGAGGGGGGGGAATAGGGGACAGGGACAGAGAAAGGGAAAGTAGAAGGATGGGGGAAAGGATGGGGAAGGGGAGGAGTCCTCGGAGATGGGAGCTAATTCTAGGAGGAGGGGAATAAGGAAAGGAGCTGATTGAGCCCCTGACATCCTGGCACAGCCATGGCGGCAGCAGCGACGGGAGCAGGCAAGGCAGCAGCAGGAGCAGCTCAGAGCTTAGCTACTCATGCTCACATCGCCTCGCACTCGAGCGACGAACGGCACAGCTCTCATGCTGCCATGGCAGCCCACGAGGCCAACCACCTACAGGCGCCGAGCAAGATCAAGGAGAAGCTGGTGCGGGGAGGGTTCATGTCGGAGACCGGAGTAGCCAGCGCTAGAAGCTCCTCGTCAGTGTCCCTGCCCTCCTCCATCTGGATCCTTGAGCTGCTCCTCAACGGTACCCACATCTCCCTCTGGGATGAGGCGCAGAATCGCGTGCGCTCGCTGGTCACCCTCCCGAAGGTACAGGAGGAGGACGAGGACGAGGGAGGAAGGAAAAGAAAGACAAGGTTGAGGACAAGGAGGGAGGAAGAAGGAGAAGGACGTGGTAGGAAGGGAGGAAGAGGAAAGAAAGTGGAAGAGGAAGAGTCAGGTCTCTCTCGCTGAAGTGCATGGCAGATCAACAGTCTGAGGAGGGAGGGAGTACTGCAAGCTCATGGCGGCCACCAATCGCTTCGCCAAGTTCGGGGAGGAGCTGACGCGCCTGCCAGCGACGCTGCGGGGAACGATATGGTCGGTGTGCCGAGATTACTACCAGATGTTCCACCGTTCCTCCATCCTCATGGTCCAGGTGAGCAGGAGGGAGGCAG